TCCAGGTGGTCTGAGGGCACCTCGGAGGTCTCCAGGTGGGCACTGGGCACCTCCTCCATGGGCTCCAGGTGGACATTGGTCACCTCGGTGGTCTCCAGGTGGACACTGGGCAGCTCTGGGGTCTCAAGATGGACGTCGGTCACCTCTGAGGTCTCCAGGTGGACATCGGTCATCTGGGTGGGTTCCAGTTGGACGCTGGGCAGCTCTGAGGTCTCCAGGTGGACATCAGTGACCTCTGAGGCTTCCAGCTGGACGTCGGTCACCTCAGTGGGCTCCAAGTGGACATCGGTCATCCGGGTGGGTTCCAGGTGGACATCGGTCATCTGGGTGGGTTCCAGGTGGATGCTGGGCAGTTCTGAGGTCTCCAGGTGGACATTGGTCATCTCAGTGGTCTCCAGGTGGACATCGGTCATCTGGGTGGGTTCCAGGTGGACACTGGCCAGCTCTGAGGTCCCCAGGTGGACGTTGGTCACCTCGGTGGCCTGGAGCTGGACACCTGCGCCAGCTGAAGGTGGTGGCAACACCTGGAGCTGGACGTTGGCGACACCTGAGGTCAGCGGCAGGGCCTGGAGCTGGACACTGGTGACCTCAGGTGGAGGTGGCAGCACCTGGAGCTGGACACTGGTGACCTCAGGTGGAGGTGGCAACACCTGGAGCTGGACGTTGGTGACCTCAGGTGGAGGTGGCAACACCTGGAGCTGGACACTGGTGACCTCAGGTGGAGGTGGCAGCACCTGGAGCTGGACACTGGTGACCTCAGGTGGAGGTGGCAGCACCTGGAGCTGAAGGTTGGTGACCTCAGGTGGAGGTGGCAACACCTGGAGCTGGACATTGGTGACCTCAGGTGGTGCTGCCAACACCTGGAGCTGGAGGTTGGTGACCTCAGGTGGTGCTGCCAGCACCTGGAGCTGGAGGTTGGTGCCACCTGGGGGTGGTGGCAGCACCTGGAGCTGGAGGTTGGTCACCTCTGAGGCCACGGGGAGCACCTGGAGCTGCAGCCCTGTCCCACCTAAACCTGTGACACCTGTGACACCTACACCTGTGACACCGGTGACACCTGTCCCACCTAAACCTGTGACACCTGTGACACCTGTCCCACCTAAACCTGTGACACCTGTGACACCTGTGACACCGGTGACACCTGTCCCACCTAAACCTGTGACACCTGTGACACCTGTGACACCTACACCAGTCCCACCTAAACCCATCACACCTGTCCCACCTAAACCTGTCCCACCTGTCCCACCGGTCACACCCATCCCATCTGTCCCACCTGCCATACCTGTCACACCCATCCCACCTGTCCCACCTGTGACACCTAAACCTGTCACACCTGTCACACCTGTCCCACCGGTCACACCCATCCCACCTGTCCCCTCCTGGTCCCGCACCTGGACATTGGTGACCTCTGGGACCACCGGTAGTACCTGGAGCTGGACACCTGTGACAGCTCCACTTGTGACACCTGTGACAGGTAGACGTGTGACACCTGTCACACCTCCACCTGCCACACCTGTCACACCTCCAGCTGGCACACCTGTGACACCTACACCTGTGACACCTGTCACACCTGTGACAGGTACACCTGTGATACCTGTGAGACCTCCACCTGTCACACCTGTGACAGCTCCACTTGTGACACCTGTCACACCTGTGACAGGTACACCTGTGATACCTGTGAGACCTCCACCTGTCACACCTGTGACACCTCCACCTGTGACACCTGTCACACCTGTGACAGGTACACCTGTGATACCTGTGAGACCTCCACCTGTCACACCTGTAAGCCCTGTCAAACCTCCACCTGTGACACTTGTGACACCTCTGACACCTCCACCACTTCCACCTGTCACACCTACTCCTGTCACACCTGTAACCCCAGTCACACCTGTCACACCCGTTGTACCTGTGACACCTGTGAGGCCTATACCTGTCACACCTGTAAGCCCTGCCACACCTCCACCTGTCACACCTGTAAGCCCTGCCACACCTGTCACACCTCCACCTGTCACACCTGTAAGCCCTGCCACACCTGTCACACCTCCAGCTGGCACACCTGTCACACCTGTAACCCCTGTCACACCTGTGACAGGTACACAGGTGATACCTGTGAGATCTCCACCTGTCACACCTGTAAGCCCTGTCACTCCTACTCCTGTCAC